AATTTCACGTCTCTCTGAAGCTTCTGCAATATGAATTGCCTAAATGTATAATTTACATGCATTAAACTAAAAACTAAACTCCGTGGTCTGTAGTCTACAAGCCAGCTATACCGACCGAGCGACCGCCGCTTGTCGGTGAAGTTAGTGTCAACTTTTGCGGAAAGAGGGTGTAACGTGGTCAGCGCAACGGACCCCCACGGATGTTAATCTCGGTTTTCTAGACCGGAGCCGCTTACTTACTTACTTAATCATGAAACTGAGCCCTTCGTGAGGAGCTCCCAATTCTACAGCTACTCAGGCCCTCCGATGTGCATGCATTAGCCAAGAGAAGCAACAAAGATATATAATTTTACATCACCATAAAATCCTAAAATATTCTCAAATTACTTGATTGTAACTCCACTTATTCCTGGCCTCTCAACATCACCACTGTCGCCTTCTTCGTCCTGTCTTCTTTCTTCCTCGTCCTACGTGTTTATAGCATCTGGCTCACCATCTTCATCGCCCCGTTCATTATATTCTCCCTTCGCTTCATTTACATCCTTAGGCTAATTTTATTCGTCCTCCTTTTAATTAACTTCTTTCACATACTTATCTTTACGTTTCCTCTGCCTCCTCCTTTTAATCAACTTCTTTCACCTCCATATCTTTATGTTTCCTCTGCCTCCTCCTTTTAATCAACTTCTTTCACCTCCATATCTTTATGTTTCCTCTGCCTCCTCCTTTTAATCAACTTCTTTCACCTCCATATCTTTATGTTTCCTCTGCCTCCTCCTTTTAATCAACTTCTTTCACCTCCATATCTTTATGTTTCCTCTGCCTCCTCCTTTTAATCAACTTCTTTCACCTCCATATCTTTATGTTTCCTCTGCCTCCTCCTTTTAATCAACTTCTTTCACCTCCATATCTTTATGTTTCCTCTGCCTCCTCCTTTTAATCAACTTCTTTCACCTCCATATCTTTATGTTTCCTCTGCCTCCTCCTTTTAATCAACTTCTTTCACCTCCATATCTTTATGTTTCCTCTGCCTCCTCCTTTTAATCAACTTCTTTCACCTCCATATCTTTATGTTTCCTCTGCCTCCTCCTTTTAATCAACTTCTTTCACCTCCATATCTTTATGTTTCCTCTGCCTCCTCCTTTTAATCAACTTCTTTCACCTCCATATCTTTATGTTTCCTCTGACTCCTCCTTTTAATCAACTTCTTTCACCTCCTTATCTTTATGTTTCCTCTGCCTCCTCCTTATAATGAACTAACAGATTCCTCATTGTCTTCATCTTCCTCTAGATTCGGGATAGCTCATTCGGTATAGCGACGGGCTACGGGCTCGACGGTCCGGGTTCGATTCCAAACAGACACAAGATTGTTCTCTTCTTCACAGAGCCCTGACCGGCTCTTGGGCACACACTCTCTCCTATCCAATTGGTATCGGGGACAGTTTCCCAGTGAGTGAAGCGGCAAGAACGTGAAGCTAACCATTCAATTCCGTCTAGTGCCGTGGTCAATAACTGGTGGAGCTATTCCTCCACTTCACCATATATCTTCTTGGTATAACTCGTAGTATGTAACTAATTAATCATACGAACAACTTCACTTCATCTTCATCCTCTTTGTCATTCTATCAACCTTCCTTCTTACCATCTTTTCTTTCATCAGCTTGTTCCTCCTCCTCGTCATCATTATCCTTTTTGTAAACAACATTGTCTTCGCCTCCTCAGTACCGCCATTCTGCCAACAACTCTTCTTTTCATTCTCTTCTCGAACTTCCTCCCAATCAACATAATTCTCAAACTCTTGCCCTCAACCATTTGTCGCCACGTTCTCTTCATTCGCGTATTGGTTTCTACTGGCTTCCTGCATGTGACCTTCTGTTCCAGGACAGCTGAGCCCACGATGCATTATACCCAGCAGCATTCTGAAACAGTGTTTCCCAACCGCCGGGCCGCGGTCTGGCAAAAGTTCAGAATCGCTGTTCTAAAGTGACTGGACAAGCGGAATTCTGTTCCTGGCAGAGGAATTTCTATTGCTTTTCGAAACCACGACCACATCACCTTTGGACAACATACCCAGTAGGCAAAGCGACCAGATTCTAAATGTCTCGAGTCCAGATAATCACATGGTTAAGATATAGGGAGAGTTATATCTTGTGGGACGTACCGCCGTTGAAAGTTAACCAACATTTCGGAGGAACATATCGCCTCCATCTTCAGGACTGAAGAGTAAAACAAGATATTAACATTACGCAAGTAGCAATCAAAGCCATTATTTGTAACCTGCTTCATGCTGGTTTCTTGCATGTCTTATTGTCCGGCCCTGAAGATTGTGGCTATATGTTCCTCCGAAACGTCGATTTAGATTCAACGGACTATGCGGTGTTACATTCCAGAATATGAAACTCCTCATAACTACCGCTGTGAGAACACAAGCCTTATAATATATATGGACGTTTGCATCTTCCCTTTTCGCTCCGTCAGATTCTATTACCTTGAAGTAAGTAACATGCAACTCTATAATTACTTGCCATAGAATTATAAGAATCTGCCATTCATAATCTTCATAGCAAATATTACAACCGTAAAGACCATATTCACACGAAGCATCGGAGGAGTAACGGCAGGATCAAAATATAATTCTTTCGGGAAATTTCTCAATAGAAGAGAAGTTCCCTTTGTGCTGAGTCAATAAAATATAATATTGCTAATCTGCTAGCTCTTTATTCACAAGCACACTGCTAGCATCTGCTTCACGAGGGACTGTCAAACCATCAGAAAATTGTTTTAAAAATGCAATAAAGTATTCCAAGTACGACAGATATTGCTTGTGACGCAATACGTCTTAAGAAATTCTCTTGTGGGTCATGGAATGCGAAATAAACGCCGTCAGAGAAGAAGATGAAATTCATATTATTAAAAAGATATGTCACTCAGTCGGAAATGTGGACACAAGACATCAGTATTTACTGAATATTAAAACACAGGACGTACTGTTGTATTTTCAGATAGAATCAACATTACCTCCTTGCACAGGGGTTTAACGTTTCATAGACTGGCAACTCCTGCTTTCATTAGAAAATGAACCCACTTTGATATTTTCTAGCATCATACATGAATATTATACACGTTATACACACTTCGAAACATTACGTAAGTTATAGGAATATTCAAATAAGCATCAAGTTTGTGAAAAATGCACATTTCTGTAGTACATTATTTAAATTTACAAGCTTACGGCATAGGATTGTGACACTTAATACACTTCTGGGGACCAAATACAATACGACAGAACGTCAATTGAATGCCACAAAAATAAATATGCCTGCGACTTTATTTCCCGAGCAGACATGTTTTCTTTTACCTCGTTGTAAATCTTTTAAAACCCTCCATGAGAAAAATTAGCCTACAAATCTTATTTAATATGAAGAGTGATATATTCTGAAATGTGACGTCATGTATTCCGTTAGAAGTTCACTGACATTTCGAAGGAACACACTGCCTCTGTCTTCAAGGTCTAAGAGTAAATCAAACAAGTAACAAAGAAGAAACAGACGGAAACGTTCCCGCAAGAAACTCAAGTTTAATTTGTTTAACACTCGTATGCTGAAGATTTTGAAATCGAGTTATTAGTATCTGAAATATTTTACACGCATAAAAATAATATCAAGCCGTCGAGCAACTGAGGACTTATAACGCATACATTCTCTACGGGTTTGGCGACCGAAGGTTCGGGGTTCGATTTCCGGTAGTGTCAAGAATTATCTCCACGTCGTCCAGACCTATCCTGGGGCCCACCCATCGTCCTACCCAATGGGTACCGAGGGCTCTTCCACCGGGATAAAGCGGTCGGGACGTGAAGCTGACCACTCACCTCCAACTAGAGCTGAGGTCAAGAAAATGTGGATCTATACATCCACTCCCCATACGCCTTCATGGCGTAATGCTTAATTAGTTATGCACAGGGACAAATTTGACAAAACGTACATAAGTGTTAAGACCCTTAAGATGTTACTTCAACCTCAGTAAGAAAAGTGCCTCCTGCAGCCTGACGGCTGCTGGTCAAGCTCTCTGCAGAAAGGACGTTTCGGTTATCGTGTCCTGCCACTCAGCAGTTTTATTGTGTGAGGCTGAGCAATTACAGTTATTTGTGTCCTGGAAGCACATCAAACGTCTTAATGCGCTGAAGCAATGTGAACTTGGGGAAAGAAGCGTTCCCTAGCGGACAGAAGACAAAGGAAACACAAGAATTGCGCTGAACAGGATCACCAGATTTCTATAGCAGCAGAAAATCTTGCACAACAAGAACTGATCTCTCCTGCTCCAGACTGAACTTCCCAGCTACCTGTGTTTGTTTGTCTGTTTACTAGATGTCGCTTCTAATTCCAACAGCTACGACATAAATGTATATATATATACCTTCGTTCTTCTGGTTGCTTTCCACAAATGCGTAAAGGACAGCTTTATTCCTCGAGAAAATNTTTTATATATATATATATATATATTAGCATGTTGCTGGGCAACGACCGCGAGATAGCAAATATAAAACAGCCGTTGTTGAGTAACGGCTTCGCAAACAGACATGTTCCCACTGTAACGATAAAGAAACAACAAGCGGGGCAGTTAATAAACACATTTTCAATGTCATGTAGATATCTGATTTCTTTCAAGAATCTAGTTAAGGTCTAAAATGGCGGGCCGGACGCCTGTTGGAATATCAGCGCTACTTTTACGCTTTTCTTTCGTTATTTACTACGATCATTTTTCTTATTGTAAAACATTTCACAACTGTAAAAGATAAGCCAACAAAGATGTTTCTGGAAGTGGCCTTGGCTTATTTTAAGTTTACATCTAGAATTTACTAACTAGAGTTTCAGAAAAACAGGATTCAATGGGGCGAATTCCCTCCACTGGCCAGCTTATTATGAACTTGGATGTTTTAAAGGACTGGTCGGTATTGCAAGGTTACTGCCAGTCATTAGTTCATTTGTTTCTTTTCATTGTTTCAGATATCCGGTTTATTAGCTGACCGTGGCTCCACTTGGGCTCATGAACATCGACACAGAGCCTATCAAAAATGGAGATGAAGAACCTCTTCCCTAAATACCACAAATTCCTTTTAGAAACTTCAGAGAAATATAAGTAATACGGTCTATTCAATATCCTACAATAAGGTAAAAAAATCGCAAGACATTCATTCTAAATTCCTGCCAACGCAAAAGAAGGCTGAACTCTACGGAATTCAGGAATAAGAACCTAAACAAACACGATTTTGATTGTCAGCCCCTATTTTGCGGCTTCACCCCAACAACTCTCAAGACATACATAACCCCCTACTCTCCATAGCCCGAAGAATGTTGTACGGCAGACAGAACCCAGAGAACAGCTGAAGGCGATGTAATTCAGTATTTCAATATTATGTCACACAGAAGAGTAAAACAGGAATACAGTGTGGGTGGCAGACTGAGCAACATCTAATGTGATAGTGTATTAACAAATTAAACATGAACTTGGAAAATAAAGTTATGATGAACAAGATCGCCTGTGTTCTGGTAGCAAAAGCGACTTACTGCATTCCTTAAAGGAATTCCTTCTATATTTTTGTACAAAGTGTGTCTGTATCAAGTTACTTCATTGAGAGGCTATATTGGCGAAGATAGAAACAACTTATTTTAAGGCAATGCAAGTGCTTGCAAACACATACAAAAAAAAAAAAACAAAGGACTCAGTGGCTTTAGTCCGCAAGCGAAATGGCTTGCAAACACATAAGAACTGTATATTTAGAATAGATTAAACTACATATGAGACTTCTACCATGAGGATATTAGGCGTTCTACGACCAAACTACCTCGTTTAATGAATCCATCAAATTGTATGGATGAATTTCCAAGCAAAAATATAAAATTACGCACCAATTTCTTAACTTGTAAGTCTATTCATACACAGAGAAGTACAGTTCGTAAAAAGACGTTTGAAATTCTAAAATATACTAAGAATGGTAGCTTTTGGTTTTAATATCATTACAGCCATTGTGAATTAGCCTCTTCCTCCTCCACCGTTTGGGTTCCAGATGAATTAATACCTAAGATTTCGCTTTGAAGTTTGTAAAAATCTTTTTCCCAAATGAGGGGCCTATCTTTCCTTCTGGTTAACGTTCATAAATGATCATTGGAGTACAGGGATTTTATGTTCCCCCTAAATATTATTTCTGCATCGATCTCGCATACCTGTAGATCTCCACTGCAAAAGTGCATTAGAGGCTTCATTCTGTCCAAAGGCGAACGAGAAGCCTCTTTTGCATGCCCATAAGACGAAGTAAAGTAAAGCTATCCCTGTAACAGCCCGTGAAGGCCCATAGGGTTGTGAGATGTCGAGGCTTCCACATTTTCTAGACAATCGGCTCATAGATGGCGGTGAGGTTGTCAGGCCTACGCGCCGGCCGCCCTTTACCCCTAAGAATATTCCAAGAATATTCCTGGTACTCATTTCTGTTAGAGGCTGATTCAACCCCAAGGCCATACTGCGGCTGGAAGGATTAGGTCAATTGAAAAAAAAAGGTCCAATGACCTCATCGGGACTTGAATCCGCGACCTTCCGGCTTGTAACATAGTGCCTCAACCAACGCTATCGAGTGTCCCATAAGAGATAAGAAATAGAGATCTTTATTTCATAAATGCGTTACAATTTCGAAACACATCTGTGCAAATAAGATACAGGTCTGTAAGGAAAAGCTTATCTTGTTATATTTTAAAGTAGCATATTGTGATCGGAAAATTAATATAATTTTCCTCAGTACTCTGAAAGAGATATTCACACAGTTTTGTAATAATAATAATAATAATAACAATAATAATAATAATAACAACAATAATAATAATAAAAATAATATTAGTAATAATAATAAGAACAAAAACAACAACAAAAAAGTCGCTCAGTTGGCCAAGGAATTATTCATTTTCTATGTAAACCGAAAATTCATATAGTATTTATAAGAGCTTAAACTTTGCCCTAACCAGATGAATCCAGTCCACACACTACATGCCTGATTCTTCCAAATGGCGTGTTCTGTTACTGTACCCATGCTCTTCTCATCTCACAGTTACGCAATTTTAATATTCATATTAAACTGCAAGACTATTTTTTAACTCGCAATAAAAACGCTTTCCCAAATAATGAAGATATATATATATATATAATCTAAAAATTTGTGACGATGGTACATCAGTACAAATATTATGCTTTTAGACATCGTCCTGTCTTTATCTAAAAAATGTTCTGTTTATTTTTAAAAAGGCGACGTTTCAGAGACTGGATTCTGTCTCCGTCTTCAGGTAAAACCTATTCAGTTGTGCCCAATCGATAGAGCCAGTCCCTATCACCGCAGATAGGGATTGGCCCCAACTGGGTAGGTTTTACCTGAAACCGGAGACAGAATCCAGTCTCCGAAACGTTGTGTTTTGAAAAATAAACAGGACGGTCTTTAGATGAAAACAAGATGATGGATAATATCCAAAAATATAATATTTGTAGTGAAGATATATTTGATTCGCTATGGATGATAACAATGGGAGAAGGAGCACGTGAAGATTCTTCCATACTAAAGACATGAATGTGATGAGGTCTTTCACTCAAATGGTCACAATTCGCCAAAAATTAGATGCAACGAAACTCTGACTCAGATCCATGCATTTATGGTGCCTGAAAGTGATCTAGATAGTTAAATAAACGCTCACGTATTCCGACGACATTTTACTTTGAGAGAATATATTATTTTATAGCTTTGAATGTAATGAGATGAGGACAAACACAAAAAAAAATATTCCTTCAGTACCGAAAAGAAAGTTTTCACTTGTAATATTCAATTAAAGAAATTTTATGAATTTGTAAGCCAAGTTCTCACAGTTCCTCCGAAAGCAAATCTGTGATTTAAGCCCTCTTCACCTTCCGCTAAGTACATATAGTAGCATGTGGACCCGTTGCTAAGTAATGACTCTGTAAACAATGCCCGTTGCTAGGCAACAGATTCCTAACACGAACAAATGGATTAACTGGGAAGCAGTGTTCTCTACATGGTCCGTTGGACAACTGTGTGACACAAGAATAGAATACTTGTTGGAAGCGGTGTTTTCTATGCGGTCCGGGCCGAGGTGTTGTTAGCAGGACAAGTCTAGAAGTTTGTTAGCTGTGAGACAGTCGTGGTCAGTAAGGAAGTGAAAAAGGAAGTTGAAAGATCTGCAACATTGGAAGCCGTTACCGGGCGACAACCGTTGAAGCTAAGCAGCGTGCTGTAGAGTGTGTGTGTGAATTAGCGAAAGCGATATAGTTGCTTGTAGTTGCGATCTGTAAGTGTGCAGTAAATCCAATTACCAATCCAAACCCCAGCTCTAGTCACTCATACACGTGACAATATATATAATCCTCCCCCACGCCATCCCCTCTGCAAGAGCCCCATGGTCCAACATCCGAAGTCTCACAAAAGGCAGGTCCATGTGGGTGGGGAGGCTACTTCGTTTTCCAAGGTAATTGGCCCGAAGAAAAATGAGAAAGACCCCGAGATTTATTTCTAGTTTTCAGCTGGCAGGAGACAGACGGCTGGATGAAAAATGCCGGCCATTGCATTGTTCGTCGGTAGAGGTGGGGGTGGGGGAGGGACGTGAATGAGAAGGATTTTCAGGAGCAGAGGGGGTTGAAGATTGGCGGTCATAGGGGTGAAGAGGAGATCTCTGACACATAGTACAACATCTGGACTGTTGTATAGGCACTGTGAGGCAAAGAATATGATTCAAACATATTACATAAACAGGGTGTGTCATAAGTGACTGAGTAATTTCAAAATAAACAAAAATTATTCTCAGTAAGAAAACAAATGTACTGTAAGGATTAAATATAGGGAATTTAAGGAATATCGCTACATCTTCCGGTTACACAGAATATCCCGCGCGTCGAAACTTAACGAGATATTCGTGATGTGCATGTGTTTTTGAGAGCCACACATCAGCACATGTTTTATTTTTTAAATGTCATTTCATATAATTTTAGCTTCAAAATAACTGTAAATTTAACACAATATTGTATTTTTCTCGAAGCTATACATCTTGGCATTCGGGGCGGATACAAAAATTAACAGCAAATAATATGTTATTAGAGACGAATTTTGATATGGTGAACGGGAATGGTCAGATTCTAAAATAGAAGAGAAAGAACTTAATCACCAGTGCAAGTCGATATCTCAGTTTCCACCAAAATTGGCACCGGTGCCAACTGTTCGCCAATCCAGGGTTAGGCACTGGTCTTATAAACTTTATGAGTATTATTGCGATAAATCGGACCACATAATATTTTACGGTCAGTAATATGTGAGAAGTACGTTGCTGAACAAGATGGAGTGTAGCATGACAAGGCAGAAAACTCTGCCACTCTCGTGTGCATGATCACAAACACACACACGTGTTCCCTCTTAACTACTACCGTGCACTATATTTCAACATGGAACTTTCAGAAGCCATTCGTTGCAATTTTAATGTGTAAAATACAACAAAAAACCACACCCTGTGCTCACACCTCCAGGGAAAGCTGAACACAATACACACACTTCTTGCTTTGCAAATTACAATATTGGCTTCTGGCTGTATGCGGATAGAGTAGTCATGAAATTCTGCAACTTAAAGAAAAGATTGTCTTACAGGATGAATTCAGCAGAGTCTGATTGATTGTTACCAACGTTTCGGGGGAATATGTTGACTCCATCTTCGGAGTATGTAAGTATCTACGAGACTATACTAGGTCATGTCCTGGATGATATTAGCTTTTATGATTACCACTGCCAGAACCTTAAATTTCACATAAAGTAATCACGTACTCACATATTTCATGAAAACTAATTACTACTTTTCTCTAGCAAACTTGTAGACAAGCAGAGCAAATGTTCTACTTTTTAACGCCACGCCATGTAGCGTGGTAGAAAAGTACAAACGTTTCGGAGGAACTCCTGCCTCCATCTTCAGGTTATCCCGTGAGATGTAAAAGCCACATATTTCAAGTAAACTTTATATTTGTGTTTCATATCATCTCCTTAATTTTTGTACCCAAGACCTTAAGCCCTTCTGGCTAGCTTAAAGGAAGTACGGTTATATGGCCGCCCCATAGCTCAAGCTGTTAGTCGCTTGTTTCCCACCGCCGCGGCCCGGGTTCAATCCCGGGTCTGTTCAAGTGGGATTTGTGGTGGACAAAGTGGCCCTGGGGCGGGTGTTCTCCGAGTACTTCGGTTTCCCCTGATAATCTTCATTCCACCAAATTCTCCATCATCATAATCACCCGGGGCAGGCTACAATAGGCCAGTCAGTGGCCGCCGTGCCGTATGGATCCAGTTGGACTTCACCCCCCACTAAGCAAATTAAAAAAAAAAGTATGGTCATACCAACATAGCATACTGCATGACGTCACATCCCAGAAGAAGGCAGTTCTCTTAGTCACGACCGTGAGAATCTCATATCTAACTTTAATAATTAGGCCTGTGCTCCATACATCCACTTCCTTCG